ATATCGCGAAGCCTGTTACGCGAGACGTGGTCTGGCGTACATCTACCTTGTTCTTTGAATATGTGAGGGTGAAGGATTATCTACTCCGTAGGGCAAGAATGCAGGGTCACCCATTTTACTGGTGTTTTGAGAACACGAAACATCTCGATGCAGCAGTTTTGTCCGAGATGAACCGGCACCTCAGGAAGTCGCCAGTCGCTGTCTGCAGCTCTGAATTTTCGGCTATGAAACGCCCACGGTCAGTCTCCACTGCAATTCACATGAATGCCACTTACTCTGTTCATTACTTATTATTACACTAATTAAAATTTATCCAGGTACTTCTGGGGCAATTTGAACAGTCTGTCCACCGCTCGAGTGCCAAGGGCATGCTGCCTCGTACTTGATGATTTTCTAGACCATGGAAGAATTGCAGTTGTGAATTCACTTGGCACTTTGACCACTAGCCAGGGATCACAACGAGGCGCTGACGGGCAGCTACCCGTTTTGGAAGGCAATAAGCCTTCCTACCTCAGCATCACGGAAATTGAACGCCTCTTTGGGTTTCCAGCCCATTTCAATGACACGGGCTAAACTAGCTGCTCCACTCGCCGTGCGATTTTGGGCAGATCCTTTTGCGTGCCAGTAGTGAAAGAGCTCCTGGAAGAGCTGCGGTTGGTGTTCCAGATCAATGAATAAAACGGTTTGTCGCAAAAAGTAGTCATTGTGGCAATTAGTTTCTCCCTGCCCTCACCCAATGCTTACTAACGTCACCCAAATGCACCGCCCTCACACGCATACCAACTCAAACAGCCCTTGCACGGCTTCCTATCTGCCAATATCTGAAATATTGATAATCAGTCTTACTGTTGCTTTAATGTGTGCTGCTGCTGTCGTACACGTTCTTACTGACAACCCAAGTGAGGCAATTAATGTAGAATTAAGAATGCCACCGTGTTTGTTGCAGCAGTTGCCGCAGTGCCTACTAGGACTCACCACTGCCACGTCACGTCACTCGTCAACGTCAACCCGTCAACGTCCTTGACCGTCATGGTGCCCTCGAGACGCGCGCTCATCGACGCCAGATCCACATTTCGCTCGCCATTATTAGGTAAGTAACCATGCTGATGCTAAGGCTTCGCCCAAAGTTCAACTCTGACCCGTGATGAAGACAAAACTGCGCTTCGATGGCATACAAGGCACTTAACCTATAAAACAGTCATCCTTTCTCGAAGATTCAACACTCACTTCTCCACCTGACCGCTGAACTCATTCACAGGCAGTGGTCTTGTGTGAATTCACATGAGGCAGTTCTAGAGTATGTGAATATTCAGTGTAACCAAGCGGTATCTCTTGTTTTGATAGAACACACACACACTGGCAATTTGCACTGCTCTGACAGTATCTCAGGCAAAGGAGGGACTCGCCTCAGGCATGGTCGTATTTCTCGCAGCCGATTCTCTGCGTCACACCACCACCACTCCACAAAATCCATTCCGCTGACTTGACCTCCCACTTTCGTATGTGGTCCTTCAAGTGTTGAGCAACTTGCGTGCGCCTCAGGCATGGTCGTATTTCTCGCAGCCGATTCTCTGCGTCACACCACCACCACTCCACAGTATCCATTCCACTGACTTTACCTCCTCCCACTTTCTTATTTGGTCCCATCGCCTGCATCTGAATATGGTGTGGAACTGATTCCAGTCACCGACCCCACAAATTTTTACGCCAAATTTATTTCTTCCAAGCACATCACCCATTAGGTTCTGAGCAATTGGTTAATGCTGTTATGTGCCTGCAGGTCCTGTCTGAGGTCTACAAACAACTTCCAATAGGTGTGTCTGTATTGTCATGCCCAAAAACTTGCACTTATTTTTATTTTGCAGGCTTCTACCACTGTCGTCTGGCAGCCCTCACTACTGATGGAACTGCGTAGTACTTGGGATGAACACACTGTGAATAATACTTTGTGAAGTCGAACATTTTCACCAGAAGAAGCAACTGTGCAATCAGTAATGTGCATGAAGTTATAACAGCATGTGCCCGTCATGTTCCAAGTTGCCTCCTGGTAGCATTCTTGGTTAAGTGTACAAAACAGCATCAGTGTTCAACAATGTTAACAATAAACATGTCATCGAATTATTTGCACTGTATGTAAATTGCCCTTCTCCTCACTATTACATAGATTTTGCTACAAGTTCTATCAGTGATGGGACTAATAGACTCACTGAGACACGTGACACATTTAGTTACTACTAGAGATTGAAAAAAAAAGTTAGGCTTTGACTGGTGTAAATAAGACCAAAACTTGCAACCCAGGGCCAGCCAAGAGTTTTGGCCCGAACCCTGGGCGAACAGAAAGACTGAGAGTTGGTCGCTCAGGGTTGGAGTTGGTGAAAAATGAATTAAAAAATCCAGTTCTGGTGTCATTTTAACCAGGAAAACAAGAGCAATGTGGTGGGGCAAATATTGGGAGCCTCAAATTCGCAGAACAGCAGCTAGGAATGTTAATGTGGTCATTCTTAAATAAAAAGT